TCATCGAAGTGCCTACTCTGGGCAAACTAAGTGCCGTCCATGCGTATGAGACGCTCAAGATTCAGTCACAAAACGACAAGGACAAGTTGGCCGAAGCCAAGGAAATGTGCTACCTCAAGAGTAAGTTTAATTCAATAAAACCTAATGACTTTCTGATAATAAATTTATTTATTTACCTAAAGGTTTCTATGATGGCGTAATGTTGGTGGGCGAATTTGCTGGCCGCAAGATTCAGGATGTGAAAAAGGATCTGCAGAAGCGTTTGGTCGATGCCAACGAGGCGGATGTTTACTACGAACCGGAGAAGACCATCATGTCGCGTTCGGCTGACGAATGCGTGGTGGCGCTGTGCAACCAGTGGTATTTGAACTACGGCGAGCCAGTGTGGCAGGCCCAGGCCACCAAGATACTGCAGGACATGGAGACGTTCCACGAGGAGGCGCGCAACAACTTCGAAGCCTGCCTGAACTGGCTGCACGAGTACGCCTGCTCCAGGACCTACGGTCTGGGAACCAAACTGCCCTGGGACGACAAGTGGCTGATTGAGTCCCTCTCGGATTCCACCATCTACATGGCCTTCTACACGGTGGTGCACTTGCTGCAGGGCGGCACTTTCCGCGGCGAGAAGCCAGGTCCATTTGGTGGGTGAACTTATTACTCTTATAGCGAACTTTGTTTATTTATATTTCCCCTCCGCTTTTGCAGGCATCAAACCTTCTGACATGACCGCCGAGATCTGGGACTACATCTTCTTTAAGGAAACCCCACTGCCCAAGAAAACAGCCATTAAACAGGAGCATCTGGCTGTCTTGCGTCGTGAGTTTGAGTACTGGTATCCCATGGATTTGCGTGTCTCTGGCAAGGATCTCATCCAGAACCATTTGACCTTCTGTCTGTACAATCATGCTGCCATTTGGCCAAACGATGAGAACAAATGGCCCAAGGGCATGCGTGTGAATGGTCACCTGTTGCTCAACTCATCGAAGATGTCCAAATCGGATGGCAACTTCCTAACGCTAACCGAGGCTGTGGACAAGTTCTCAGCCGATGGCATGCGTCTTTGTCTGGCCGACGCAGGCGACAGTGTGGAGGATGCCAATTTTGTGGAGAGCACGGCAGACGCTGGCATCCTGCGTCTTTACACCTTCATTGAGTGGGTCAAGGAGATGCTGGACAGCAGGAGCAGTTTGCGAAAGGGCAAGGATAAGACCTTCAACGATCAGGTCTTCCTGAGCGAGCTTAACTTGAAGACGCAGCAAACGGATGACAACTACCGGAAGATGTTGTTCAAGGAGGCCTTGCGAAGTGGCTTCTACGAGCTGCAGTTGGCCAGGGACAAGTACAGCCAACTGTGCGGCACCCAGGGAATGCACGAGGATCTGGTGCTGGAGTTCATACGCCGGCAAGCCCTCTTGGTGTCCCCCATTTGTCCGCACATGGCGGAGCATGTGTGGGGATTGCTGGGCAACAAGGAGTCCATTGTTCATGCTCGCTGGCCAGAAGTGGGGGAGATCAACGAAGTGGATATCCTGTGCTCCGAATATCTCATGGAGGCCGCCCATTCGTTCCGTCTGAACCTCAAGAACCTGCTGCAATTCAAGGGCAAGGCGGGAAAAGACAAGTCTGCGGATGTCCAAGCAGCGAAGCCCAACAGAGGCCTCATCTGGGTGGCCAAGACTTATCCGCCGTGGCAGTGCTGTGTGCTGGACACCATGAAGGAGTTGTTCAACAAATCGCAGGCCCTGCCGGATAACAAAGTCATTGCGGCGACGCTGCAACAAAAGGCGGAGCTGAAGAAGTTCATGAAACGCGTGATGCCCTTCGCCCAGATGATTCGCGAGAAGGTGGAATCCGGCAAGGGTGTGGCTGCCCTGGCCGTCACTTTGGAGTTCGACGAGCGCCAGGTGTTGGTCAATAATCTGGAGTATCTGAAAAACACACTGGATGTAAGTAGCTCTAAACTTTTTGATCGTTTCCCTCTTATTAACTCTTAATTGCTTTTTAGCTCGACGTCTTGGAAATTAAGTATACCGATGATCCGTCTGCGCCGGAGAAAACTCGTGAGGAAGTTCGTCCTGGCTCGCCCTTCATCAGCTTCTCGGTGGCACCCAATGTGAGCGTGGAGCTGACGAATCCCATCGAGCGCTCCTCCTTCTTCCAGGTCAACACCGTCATCTCCGAGGGTGACACCGTGCGTTCGCTGCGCGAAAAGCTTGCCAAGATCATTGGCCTCAAGGCGGACACGGCCAGTCTTAAGATCTGGTCCCATGTGGATCCCATTCTGGGACCCAGAAAGATGCCCAACTTTGGGGACTACAAAACGGGCAAGTCCCTGCTCACCGAAGGCAACTTTGTTCTGGATGTGGCGGCCAAGAAGGTGAGCCTGGAGCAGGCCGGAAAACTGACGGAAGTGGGCAGAAATCTTATCTATGTGGTGGATTAAGTCGAAGAGCATCACAAGCTATACTAATTTATTCATTAAATGAAACAACACGACCTTGTTAAACAAATCCATGGCTATTAAAATGAACTGTGAGCTCCAAGTCAAATGAAAATTATATTTTATATAACGTTAGCTTGAGATTTAAAACTAAATGCTAACTAGTAACTAAAAGCATTAGCAAAAATGGCTTTGCTCGTTTAGAAAAACAATATTATTTTAATTTAAGAGAAACATTTCACATATTTGTAAATGAGTTGGGTCTTTTGTTATTGTTTTCATTGGTATGCCTTGCTAAAAACTAAACTAAATTGTATCAAATGCATGTTTAATTTATGCTCAACATTCAAACGTGAACTTGCAACCTTGTAAAGGAAACAAATGTGCCCCAATTAATTGTAACTAAAGATAACTGACTTGATTGTTAATTGTAAGCGAGAGTGTATCCAATGCCACCCCTAAACAACGTGTTTAGTGTGTCAGTTGGCTGAACAGATAAGCTGAACAGTGGTCTCTCAGCGGGTCTTCTGCCCACTGGGTGGCTATCACTAATCCAAGAAAAGAAGAACACCTATATAAGGCATTGCTCTGCTAAAAGCCATAGTACATAACCATGTTGGCTCTTCGCTTGATTCTACTGCTGCAGTGCAGCCTTTTGGTTTTGGCCGGCGTTTGTCTAATACCACAGCCCATTAAAAGGCAGCGTTCGCTAAAGGATATGCTGGAAAAACCATGGAAAATATCACCCCGCTTGGATGGTCGGATTGTGGGAGGTCATCGCATCAACATCACCGATGCACCGCATCAGGTTTCGCTGCAGACGTCGTCTCACATCTGTGGAGGCTCCCTGATTTCGGAGGAGTGGATATTGACTGCCGCCCATTGCACTTAGTAAGTAACAAAGTAATTATATCCATATATATCCTATTAGCCGCCATAGAAACAACCGGGCTTAAACTATACAATTTTGAATATTTATTTAAAATTTCTACATAACTCGGTGTATTTTGCATTAAATATTGCTCTTATATATAGATATAAATGTCTTACTGATCGGATGACTATATCCTATAGCTGACTTAGGAGCAAACTGTTAAAATTTTGTAAATTAATTCGTTTTTAAGAATTATATGTTTAAATTCGGCTTGCCGAAGTTAACATGCTTAATAGTTATATTCACAATGAAAATTCTACCAAAAATAACAGTGGCAAAACAGCAGATCGCCTGAAAGTTCGCCTGGGAACCAGTGAATTTGCTCGCAGCGGACAACTGCTGAGGGTTCAGAAAATTGTTCAGCACTCGCAGTTTAACTACACCAACGTTGACTATGACTTCTCACTGCTCCAGCTGGCGCATCCCATCCAGTTCGATGAGACCAAAAAGGCCATCAGGCTGCCCGAGTCGCAGATGAAGTTCATGGACGGGACGACCTGTTTTGTGAGCGGTTGGGGCAATACCCAGAACCTGCTGGAGTCCAGGGAGTGGCTGCGTCAGGTGGAGGTGCCTCTGGTCAATCAGGAGCTGTGCAGCGAGAAGTACAAGCAGTATGGCGGTGTTACCGAGCGAATGATCTGTGCCGGATTTCTGGAGGGCGGCAAGGATGCGTGCCAAGGGGATTCCGGTGGTCCGATGGTCAGCGAGGCGGGCGAACTGGTGGGCGTGGTTAGCTGGGGCTATGGTTGTGCTAAACCGGATTATCCGGGTGTCTACTCTAGAGTGAGCTTTGCCCGGGACTGGATCAAGGAGCACAGTGGTGTTTAAAAGAATTAAACCCACAATATAAACCTAGTTTGACAAAACAATAAATGCAAAATTTGTTCATCTAAATATATTAATTGCTTTTAATCATACCCGCTTCTCCCGAAACTCTGCAATGATATTCTGAGACAAGGTAAAGGCTTGTTATTAGGCTTTAAATGTTTATTCGGTTTATATCTACGGACACACTTAAAATTTTCCAAATCGAACCAATTTTGTAGAAGTTATTAAGAAAATTCGAATTATGACGTCACTTAATATTTTAAAATCGAAGAGAGTGAAAGAACTGCTCGCTCTTAGCTTATAATGTTGACCCTGCATATCGGCAGATGGCGCCACATAAGACACGACTGTTTTATAAAGCATGTTTTTTTTTAAATAAGCTAAGTAATTGAAATTAATATCTAATAATAGAATATCAATTGCAAAAAGAACAATAACAACTTTTTTTTAATATTATAAAATATCACTGTTTACAAATAAACTTCTTCGGCAATTGAAACAAATTTGACAAATTTGATATCAATTGCAAAAGTGACAAAGATTTTTTATTTTTCACTCCTCCGAAACAGAAGTTATCTGCGGTCAACTTAATCTCAAATAATTGCAGTACTCACAGACCCGTAACCTTTTAGCACCAAAAATATTTAAAATTCATCTCTACCGATTGATAACAATACATATACGTCATTGATAAGCGCTGGCAGAGAGCGTATAAAAACACGAAAGAGGGCGAAATTATTTCAGTTGCCTTCAAAAGCTGATCTAATTCCCTTCTACTGTTTCAACAATAACACAAAGATGTATAAGTTTAAGGCGCTTTTGTTCTTTGTGATGATTTCTGGCGGATGTCACGGATCTCAGGCAGCATATAAAAGAAGACCCCTGGAGGACCTTGAGACCCGCTGCGATGGACACTGCTTCTCAAGGATGCGAACAGTGATGGATTACGTTGTTGCCAATCAGGATCGCTGGAGTACCTGCAACCAAATGATAGCAAGATCACAGGAGCCCAAGGACTCATGGCTGGACAGGATGGACTTGCCGGAATCATTTATAGTCTTTGAAAATAATCTACAGGACAAGCTGGATGCCCAACATAAAGTTTTTAATGAATCGCTCTCCAAAGTTGAGAGTTCACTGGGGAAAATCATTTCGCAGATGAACAGTATGCATAATCAACTGGAAGCGTTGCAAAAGAATTTTGGGCCAAAGGCAGTCGCACCAACAAAAAGCATCCCCCCGAAGTTCGAGCTGATTGGCTCAAGGTATTTTTACATCGAAAAGGACAGTTATGTGGATTGGCAAAGTGCCGCCAGTACCTGTCGCCAACTGGGTGGCCATCTGGCCTCGATTAAGGACCAAGAGGAGCTAGACGCTTTAAGCGTGAGACTCAACAACAATGAGGGCTACTGGTTGGGCACAAACGATCACGCAGAGAAGGGCACCTTTGTGTCCTTGGCCTCTGGTAAACCAGCCTTTTTGAATTGGACAGATGGCCAGCCCGACTATTTGTTCGGACATCCGAGCTGCGTTGACTTCTTTTTCAAGGAGTTTAAAATAGCCAGGAACTTACTAATGTTGTGTTCGATCGAAAAAAAATTTATTTGCCAGGCTGATGAAGAAGTTTAGTGTTAATATATCATATAACATCCATATTTCTGGGTACAATACTCAGTGCTCAGATACCCTTAACCTTTTAGCCCAAAATTATTTCAGATTCCTTCCTACCAATTGCTAAATACGTCATTGAAGTGGAACCCCAGAAAACCTTATTTCTTTTTCGGAATTCCGATTATTCTTATTATCCACTAAAATGTAAAAAGAAAAATATTTTAAACATTTTCAATAAATAAATTAAGGTTTTAATAACATTATGGTACATTGCATATGTTTTAATATATTTTGTTGACACACAATCTTTGCCCAGAGTTTTTTAAACAATTGCGATACTTCCTGGTATTAATTTAATACTCAACTTGAGAAATTTGTTATACCCAATGGTGCAAAATTTTTTTTTTGGTGTAGACATGTATTCAGAGTCATAAATCAACAATCGTGTAAGCATCTGATCCCCTAAAATCATTTCATAATCTGCTGTTCGGACGCGAACATCCGCACACCGCACACGTTGCCGGCACACAGTCAACTTGCAAGACACGCGACCCACCTGGATTTTGCACACTTTGCAGGCGCATGTCGCGTTGCTCGAGGTCGGAGTCTAGTTGGCCACGTTAGGGGGATGTCGGTAGTCAGTAGTCCTGGCACGAGTCCTGCGACCTTTAGATGGGCTTAGATGCGGGGGGTCGGCACTGCGTTTCGATGTCCAGGCATCACATCACATTTTAATTGTTTCGTTGGGAGGCTTATCGGCCTGCCATTCCGTTCATGTGTTACATGCGGCGTATACGCAATTACTTGCATTACGTATACGTCTGAACAACTTTGTATTTGGTATGAACAAATGCAAAAGGCAATCAGTTGGCGTGGGTTATTTTTCTATTGACCGGAGTCGTTTTTTTTTTGTTGTGTTCTTACGGATAAATTAGCTTGGGAAAATTAATATTAGATGTGACATAATCTAGATGTATGTACTTATATAGCCTTGGCATTACAAAAATGATCACACAAGCTGATCAGTTGAAGTGGGCCATAATTGTGAAGATTTTGTTTCGTCACTCTCACTTTTGCTTTTTTAATTTTTTGCAATGTTAAAACAATGTCTGAGTTAGCTTGTACGATTATTAATTAATTGCCTAACTCAGAGGTGTCAAAGGGAATGTAATGAATACTAAGCAAAAAGTTGCTTATGTTAATCCCTAACGTAATTGACGTTATCTTTAAACTTCAAATTTTTTATTTATTTCTAAAAAATAAAATAATATAATTGACCCAATAAGAGACCAAAAAAATCTTTAAATTTAGTATGACAAATATTATTTAATCAAAAATAACTTATAATCAAGAAAAACTCTTAAAAAAAATAACAAATAAAAACAACTATCTGTTAAAATTTATGAAATTTTTATAAAATATTGTTTTTTTTTATTAAGGCAATAGAGATTTTTAGTATTATATATAATTTTATATATAGCTTATTAACAACTTTCTTAAGAAGCTTTTGCTAATAATTGAAATTATTTTAATGTTGCTAAGGAGATTTTTAGCCACTGCGGAATTCGCTTGTCTGTCCCTAAAATAATTTGTTGAATAACATTCTGACCAACTCAAATGGCCTTTGTTGCGTGCGAATGACTTTGTAACTTGTAACTTGAGAGTGCCAACGAATAATTCTGAGTGCCTTCGGCAGAGCAAAAGTACGCCCCAAACCACTGTTTTTAGTTGACTTGCAGTCGCGATTCAGTGACGACGTGCCGAAGCTCTCGCCTTCGAGAAGACACATATATACTAAATACCACTTGGTATAAGTGTGCAATGAAACCGGTGCGTATACGCCGCGTGTGCCCGTGTGTCTGCAACCAACTGTTGATTCCGTTCCCCAAAGGATTAGGCAACAGATCAGCAAAATCATCTGTGGCACTCAAAGCCGAACAAAGTCACCCTGACGAAGCCTATGAACGAGTCGAATAAAGGCGAAATTCAGCTGGGTGAAAACGTTTAACGCTACACTGAAAAAACAGCTTCCCAAATAAAGTACAATTAAATTTCGTTATCTTGATTTTAGAAGACTAAATTTTTTTACAAAAGAAAAATTTAATATTTTTTAAACACACAACAAATTTAAACAAAAATGTAGACATACTTATATTTGCAAATAAGGTTTATTTATTTCTTTTAAAACCTTTTTACAATAACCAAGTTATATTACTATCAGACATTTGTCATTTACGTTTCCTTCTAGCTTATAAAAAATATTTCATTAAAAAATTATAAGTTATTACAATGAAATGAAATAATGACTACATATATTTTAAATTTTTAAAAGGAAATTAAATATTTTGAAAATTAAAAATAAATATGTTGTTATTTAAAAATGGCATTCCATTAGAAATATTTATATAGGCTATGATCATGGATATTTACGGAAAATTTAATGGTTAAAAAATGTCAAAGCTTATTAAATGTTTATTTGTGTTTTATATGAATATGGGATTTAAATAGACCTACAAATTTGAATTTCAATTTTTTAAAACATATATTGTTTAAAGATGGCTTGAAAATGTTTCTTTTCTATTCAGTGCGAATATGCAAAACCTTTTAGAAAACGTTTTTTTTTTTTGAGTGCATGGAATAGCTCTGACTGTTGCTGTTGTTTGCCGAGTATTCTCCGTATTTTCCGGCGCTGGTTATTCATGGTTATCGAACATTCGCCAGTGGCGGTTGGCAAATAAACGTGCGGCACGTTGCCGCTACACGTGAGCCGAGCTAACCGTCCGCTCGCACCTGGGTGCGACAGAGACGGGGAAGCGCGGCGAAAGCTCTCGGCTCGCCTCTCTCACTCACACAAGCGCCGGCAGCGGCACGTTGCCCCTGTGTGGGTGGGACTCGCCGTAAGTGTGTGTGTGTATCTGTGAGTTGCAATTTGTATCTGACTTCGGTGGTCGAACGAGAACTTAGATCGCATTCAGCGTTTTGAGTTCCAAGTAAGCGGTTCGTTTAGCGGGTGCAAATTTATCCACAAAACATATAACTCAAAATAAAAATCTTCAAAATAAATAAATCTTTACAAACAATGTATATTTTAATCTTCAACTGCAATACTGAGAAAACAATAATACTAATAAAACAATTTCCATAAAAGTGCTCAGCAATTTTACCAGAGAGAGTGCCTTTGTGATTCACTGCTTTTTCTCTCAGTGTCTTGTCTAGATTGCAATCAAAAAAGTGCAAATTAATTGTTTTTATTGTACAAGTTGCTTGTGAATTTTACGTAAGCCAAGACACGCAACCAACGTATTAATAAAGAAGTTTTGTGCAGTGTAAACACGAAAGCAAAGTGCAAAACTGTGAAATGAAGCTGCGCATCTTCCAACTAAATTTTTGAGAATAAAAACAAAATTTCAAAAATAAAACCATAATTTTTTTAAAACTACTTTCAGATATTAAACAATTCTTATTTGGAAAGTGGATATAAAACGAATTAACTAGAACGTGATCTAGACCACAAAGAAACCCAACAAGTGCTCAATACAGCTCTTAAAACATTTATAAACAATCAAACTAAACATCACAGTGAAACAACACATTAACAACTAACACAACAGAGTAAATTATTATAAATCGGTAAGAAAAAAGATAGTTTAATAGACATACTAAAGATAAGACTTGACCTAACACAGTTTTACTTGAATTGAGTATTGTGAAAATTGCACGATTTAAAAAGCTCTCTTCACAAAGCTAACTTTTATTAGGCGCTAAATTTCAAAAAAAGCAAAGCTTGACCACAATTGATTTCACAGTAAAAAAATAAGAAAAATAAATAAAATAAGGAACAATTAAAGGGGCAATTTAGGCAACAGCTGTTATGTAAATTGCACCCACTCAACTGGCAGAAAAAGAGGCTTGGCCTTTCTTTAGATTTCCTGTCAATGGCAGGATAACAAAATAATTCCGGGAAATTTCCCCCATCAATTCTGCAGCTGACACATTTCATGACAGGACTCAGATGTTGAGTGTGTTGTTGCTGTTTATCCAGGACTTTTAACGACCCTCAGAACCTGCATTTATTGGCATTGCAAATGAAATTTCTTAAATTTTTTATTTTGCTGGTCCTATCTACATTTTCCGTTTCAAATGCAAATTTTTGCGCTCGCCTCAATGAATTGCCTTTTTGCGAAAGAATGACAAATTTACTAGCTATCTGGAAAAAAAAATACTCAACTCTAGATTTCAATGCGCATATCATTTTGTAGTTCTCGATTTGCCTTTTATGTAAGTTTTGTCTTTGATTTCATAACCAGTCAGCGGAAATGGTATTGGGGTTGCTAGAAATGCACCAAAGATAGATTTCCAGATTATATATGATTATTGATTTAGTTGTGCAAAAATTATGCTGCACTATAGAATGGCAATTAGGTTTAATTGATATCCACATTTTGGTTGTTTATTAATAAGTTAACAATTATAAAATTTAAATTTTACGCTGCTAGAACTTAAGGAATACAACTTTTTGTTTTTGCTTTCATTTTTTATCTGGAAAATTAGCATACAATTTATTTTTGTTTACTGCAAAATTGCTTAAAGCTTGTTGGCTTGTAGAATTTTAAGTTTAAGATTTTGAACAGTGGCTTTTCACCTTTCATTTTAAGAATTATCATTATATTTTTTTTTGTTTTATTACAATCACTGGGTGTAGATTTTTATTTTGTTTTATAATTAGTATGTTAATTGAAGAACTCTTGATTAAAACCCAATTTAAATATTATAGGTTTTCTTTCCAACTATGAAAATTAAACTAAATATATATTTTTTTATACATTTTGTTGTTTTTGACCATTTAACGTGCCATTTAACGTGTTCGCCCAAAAGAGGGCAATACGTTTTCAATGCAGCCCAACTGCATGTTCGCTTTTGTTGACAAATATAGCGCGAAGGCATTCAAATTCAGTAACCTGGAAGCCATAGACAAAAAGGAACCCAATGCTGCGCCATTCTGCATCCCGATTCATGCTCTATAAATATCGCCACGGGGGTTCGACAGAAAACACATTTATCCATTGAGTATGAGAATGCTACTGCTGCAGCCATTGTTCCCTTGGAAATCGAACTCACTGGCACAATGTGTGTTGTTTACACAATCAGTCCCCGAGTTTGTCTGCAAGTGAGTCACATGCGGCCACCGGTTGTTGAGGATTTACCTGGTTACATGATGGGTGAAGGTAGGAAATTCACCACCCTCCCTAATGGTCCTTCTAACCCACTTATTTTCTCTAAGAAGTGTGGCTTCCCGGAATTTTGGGGCTCGTCTGGTAGGCATTTTTCGAGATTTGATTCACAACGGGTGGTAGGTGGTTAATACTGGCTGTGGCTGTTAAGGGCACGTGTTTTAAAGGCCCGGAATTAATAAAAGTTGATTCGGGTTTCATCCCCAAGGTGCTGCAATTGCAGCACATTGCATTGACTGCGCCCTTTATGGTCACATGTCCAGTGATTTTGTTTGCGAACGCAAATATTTATAGCAGACGGTGATGTGTGGCATTTGCGGTTGTATAATTGAACAAACGACAGTTAATCATTCAGTATTTCTATTTTAAAGCCTTTATTATTTTTAGGTCATGTTTGTGAGAAGTTCATTCATGTACAATTAGTCTAAAGACTTTGAATTTGTTTATTAATTCTGTTTGGCCTTTATGATAGACAAAGGTCAAATGACATTTTCCTATTTTTAGATAATAATTGGAAGATTTAGTAACAATAACATTAGGCTTGTAGATTTTTCTTATGTTATTATTGGTTATTTATAATTATGTACCATTTATTGGTATATATGTATACCAATCAAGGCTAAGGTTTTTCAGGTAATTGTTTTTTCTTTTCTTTTTTTAGGTAACTATTTCCAAATGTAGTTACATTAACAATAAACTTGTGTGCGTTTTCTTTTTAATTATAATTAATGCAAAGCTTTAAAGTTGGCTTAAAATAGTAATTCACTTTTACTTAAGAACTATTAAACATATAAACATATATAATTATTTTTTCAAAATGTAGTTTCATTTAAAACAAAATAAAGTGCTTTAAATCAATTGCCTTTAAATAGTTAACAGTAATAAACATAATAATTAATTTAATATTAAGGTAACAATTTTAACTAACTTTATATAATATTTTGTATATATTTTTGCAGTTCCTGTGCGCAACTTCAAAGGAGTATTTCAATGTTTGGAACCAACAATGAGCAAAGGCAGGCAGCTCAAGAATCACAATCACATCTGGAATAATCAAAACTATATTGAGTGAAGTTGGTTATGGACTGGTTACTTGCAACTCCGCAGTTGTACAGCGCATTCTCCTCCTTGGGTTGCCTGGAGGGTGATACCTATGTGGTCAATCCAAATGCATTGGGTGAGTTGTTTAGCTTATTGTGTTGAACAAAAAAACTATTAAGAATCCTGCGATGTCGTTAAAAACGCATTTAAATAATTGTATTTGAAATAAAATACAAGAAAATAAAATTGAAATTGATATTATTTTAAGATTTTATTTATGAACGGTTTACCTTGAAAGTGCATTATTTAAAAAAAACCTTTAAGAGTAAGCTAATTAATTAAGTTTTTTGTTGTTTATTATTTGGCTATTTTCGGGATAAATGGTAATGCCTAAAAATATACTTTAAATTTAAACAACTTTTAACTGAAATATTAATCATTTTAAACAATTATGACTTATTTTATTTGTATAATTTTTTTGAGATTAATTCACATATTTTAATTATACATCATCAAGTTTTTTATGCTTTGTATTAACTAAATGGATTTCATATTAAATTTAAATTATATAATTAATAGAATTAATTCAAAGGATTTAATAGCCATATTTTTCTATCAGTGTAGTAATGGAGTTCTTTGTTGTCCCCAGCCATTCTAGAGGAGATCAACTACAAGCTGACATATGAAGACCAAACGCTGCGCACCTTTCGCCGGGCCATTGGATTTGGACAGAATGTGCGCTCCGATCTGATACCGCTGCTGGAAAATGCGAAGGACGATGCGGTGCTGGAGTCGGTCATCAGGATCCTGGTGAATCTGACGGTGCCGGTGGAGTGCCTGTTCTCCGTGGACGTGATGTACCGCACGGATGTGGGTCGCCACACGATTTTCGAGCTGAACAAGCTGCTGTACACCAGCAAGGAGGCTTTCACCGAGGCGAAGAGTACCAAGAGTGTGGTGGAGTACATGAAGCATATCCTGGAATCGGATCCCAAACTGTCGCCGCACAAATGCGATCAGATCAACAATTGCCTGCTGTTGCTGAGGAATATCCTGCACATTCCGGAAACCCATGCCCATTGTGTGATGCCCATGATGCAGTCGATGCCCCATGGCATCTCCATGCAGAACACGATCCTTTGGAACCTGTTCATCCAGAGCATTGACAAATTACTCCTCTATCTGATGACCTGTCCGCAGCGAGCCTTCTGGGGTGTGACCATGGTCCAGCTGATTGCCCTGATCTACAAGGATCAGCATGTCAGCACGCTGCAGAAGCTGCTCAACATCTGGTTCGAAGCCTCGCTGTCGGAGAGTTCTGAGGATAACGAGAGTAATACCTCGCCGCCCAAGCAGGGCAGTGGCGACTCCAGTCCCATGCTGACCTCTGACCCCACCTCCGATTCCTCCGACAATGGCAGCAATGGGCGTGGCACGGCGGCCACCCTCCAGGAGGTGAGTCGCAAGGGCCAGGAGTATCAGAATGCCATGGCCAGGGTGCCGGCCGATAAGCCAGATGGCTCCGAGGAGGCCAGCGACATGACCGGCAACGACAGCGAGCTGCCCGGATCGCCGGAACAATCGCAGCCCGCCGGAGAGTCCATGGACGATGGCGACTACGAGGATCAGCAGCGGATCGAGCGCCATGAGGAGGATGGAGAAGATGAGGTAAGCAAATATAGCATTTCTTTAGATTCTCCAGATTCCTTGAAAGCAGACTTTAAATGATAGCATGGGGTATATTCTTTAATTTTGAGTTTTAAGATATATTAAATAGAGTATTATTAATAAATAAATACTCTTAATAATTATCAAGATGCTCCGTTTCGTTTTTTAAGTTCACAAACGTTGTAAAGCTAAATTTAATTGAGTGCCATTAATTTCTAAAAATTATTATTAAATAATAGCCCAAAAATTGTGTCTTCAATGCTATAAGAAATCCAATTAAATATTCTTATTAATACTCTCTAACCTGAAACTTAAAAATACATAAAAAAGTAGGGATAAATTCCTAGTAATATTCAAGATTTTCTACAAAATCAAAATTTACGTTTTAATTTATTTTCAATTTTAAATCTCCTACATTTTCCAGGACGAAAGGGAGGAAGAGGAGTATCTGCGAATGGCCGCAGCCTCTGAACCCTTGAACCTGACACAACAACCAGCTGACAAGGTCAACAACACTACCAACCCAAGCGCCACAGCGAATGGATGCCTGGGCAACGAGCCCTTCAAGCCGCCACCACCACTACCAGTAAGAGCCTGCACCTCGGCCCAAGCTCAAATGCACCAGTTCCACGAGTCCTCCTACACGTCCCACGTGTCGGCGGTGAAACTGGGCCAGAAGTCACCCCATTCCGGCCAACTTCAGTTGACCAAGGGCAAGTGCTGTCCGCAGAAGCGCGAGTGCCCCTCCTCGCAATCGGAGCTATCGGATTGCGGCTATGGCACCCAGGTGGAGAACCAGGAGTCCATATCCACCTCCAGCAACGACGACGACGGGCCGCAGGGCAAGCCCCAGCACCAGAAGCCGCCGTGTAACACGAAACCGAGGAACAAGCCACGCACCATTATGTCACCCATGGACAAGAAGGAGCTGAGACGCAAAAAGCTGGTCAAGCGCAGCAAGAGCAGTCTGTGAGTTTTAGAAAAAAAAAGAAAAAATATATAAAAATAGAAAAAACAAATATAAAGCAAAAACAAAATATTCTATAAAACGACAATACTTCGTTTTTTGTGCTTATATGTTTAAAACAATGAAGCTATGTCGCTTAAAAGATCAATTTTTCCATCATTCCTATGACAGCTTTATGTAATGATTGTTCGATTTTTTTTTTATTAAACCCATGAATGGTAAGCCATGGACACTAAAGTGTACTACATACACTGCCTAAAAAAAATAGTAAATCCAAATATTTAAATTTTTTCACTATTTTTGGAATTAATTTTAATACCTGAAAATTTTATTTAAATTTAAACCACCCGACTTGTATACTACCTGCAATATCAAGAAGACATTTGTGTGTTTAAAACTGCGTATTAACGGACATGAAAGCTAACTTCTGCCTGAAGTTAAAGCACCCTCTTTTAGGGAATATAAAAAAGGGAAAGCGTATATATTTACAAATTACCATATCCAATCTACAGCATCAACATGAAAGGTCTGGTGCAGCACACACCCACCGATGATGACATATCCAATCTGCTGAAGGAATTCACTGTGGACTTCCTCCTCAAGGGCTACAATTATCTAGTGGAGGAGCTACACACGCAACTGCTTTCCAATGCGGTAGGTAGCGATAATTCTAGATTTAATTAAATCTTCAATTGCCTAATTTTGTTTTACTTAATGTCATTAAATTTAATTTATTACGAAATGGGGCAGAACAAGGTGAAATTTTTAACATATTTCTATGCTTGTTTGGTTTAAATAAAAAATATTAAAATTATGTATAAATTATAATCTATTTGTGTACTGCTAGAATTAAAATATTTTTTTCATTTTTATCAATTTTATGTTCACTGCTCGAACGAATATATTTATTTAAAGTTTTTATATTTAATTACAATATCTTAATATACTTTAACGTTCCTCTGCCTATTTGAGAAAAACATTATTAAACATTTTCTTCAAAATAAAGTTTTACTGCAACCTTACTGCAACCTTCATATAATATTTTATAATATGTTTTTAAAATTTAAGATCAAAAGAATAACATATATTTCCATTTGCCTCTAGAAGGTGCCCATTGATACGTCGCACTTTTTCTGGCTGGTCACGTACTTCCTGAAGTTTGCCGCCCAACTGGAACTGGACATGGAGCACATCGACACCATACTCACCTACGATGTATTGAGCTACTTGACCTATGAGGGTGTGACCCTTTGTGAGCAGTTGGAACTGAATGCCAGACAAGAGGGAAGTGATCTGAAGCCCTATTTGAGAAGGATGCACTTGGTGGTGACGGCCATAAGAGAATTCCTACAGGCCATCGACACATACAATAAAGTCAACCATCTAAATGAAGACGATCGAGCTCATTTGAGGCAACTGCAGTTGCAAATTAGCGAAATGTCCGATCTGCGATGTCTTTTTGTGCTGCTGCTAAGACGATTTAATCCCAGCATTCATTCCAAACAGTATCTTCAGGATCTGGTGGTCACAAATCACATACTCCTGCTTATCCTAGACAGTTCGGCGAAACTAGGTGGAAGTCAATCTATACGCCTTTCAGAGCACATAACACAGTATGTTTTTAACTTAATAGCAAATCATTAAAAAATATTATGAAAATATTTATTATAAAGGTTTGCCACCCTGGAGGTAATGCACTACTATGGCATCCTTTTGGAGGACTTTAACAACAATGGAGAGTTTGTGAATGACTGCATCTTTACTATGATGCATCATATAGGTGGTGATCTGGGCCAGATTGGTGTGCTATTTCAACCAATTATTTTGAAGACCTATTCAAGAATTTGGGAGGCCGACTATGAACTATGTGATGTAAGTTTTAGGAGAAAAATTTATTTATTCATTTTATTAATTTTTTTATATTTAACAGGACTGGTCCGATCTGATCGAATACGTGATTCATAAGTTCATGAACACTCCGCCAAAATCGCCTCTAACCATTCCCACAACTTCTTTGACTGAAATGACCAAAGAACACAATCAGGAACATACCGTTTGGTAAGGATTTCAGACGTTTTTGTAAAAGCAATATCTCACTTAGGGTGTATTACTTGCAAGCGTGAATTTTACTAAAATAATTAATCAAATTCATTGAATTGATTGAGAGACTTAAGTGCCATTAAGAATAAAAATCATTTGAAACATTTGTGAACCAATAAGAATCGGCGTTTAGTGTTTTACTTTAGAAATATTAAGTCACACCAATTTAATCTTCTTTACGAAGCCATGGATGTTCTACAAGTGAATTCCCCATACATTATTCATTCATTTTTAGGGAAACAAGTATTTATGTTATTTATTTTCTTAGATTTTATGAGCCTACTAACAAACCTTTCTTAACAAAGAGCATACTAACCAAAATGTAGAATTCAAGTGCTTAAGGTCCTCCTCTAAATTAAAACTAAAACAATTAGAGGAGTCATTTAATTTATTATTATTATTTTTCCTATTAGCTCGTGGTCTCAGGAAGAAATGGACACGCTGTATTGGTATTATGTGCAGAGCAAGAAAAACAACGATATTGTGGGTAAAATAGTGAAGCTATTCAGCAACAATGGCAACAAATTGAAGACTCGGATTTCCATAATCCAACAACTTCTGCAACAGGTAAGGATATACGAATACCTGATCTAAAATGAGTTTTATGAATGTGTTTGCTACTTTTTTGCAGGATATTATTACCTTGTTGGAGTACGATGACTTGATGAAGTTCGAGGATGCTGAGTATCAGAGAACTTTGCTGACGACACCCACTTCCGGAACAACTGAGTCCGGAATAGAGATTAAAGAGTGTGCTTACGGCAAGCCCTCGGATGATGTGCAGGTTGGTTAACCACCGCGAACCGCCCCATTACTTTGCTCTCTTTCGCTCTTTCAGATATGTGCACTCAGTTTTGCAAATATGACGTCATAATTGAAAATTTCCTAATAACTTCTAAAATACTTGTTAGATTTAAACAATTTTTACTGTGTCGAAACATATTGACCAAATACACATTAACCGTCCAATAACTGACCTCTAACATGATTCTACGAATACCATGTACTCTTAGAGTAACTCTAAACTCATATAATTTTGTTTCGTATTTATACAGATCCTGCTTGACCTGATCATCAAGGAACACAAGTCGCAGCATTTGTTGTGGCTGCAGAAGATCCTGATCGAGTGCTGTTTCGTCAAGTTGACCCTGAGGAATGGCCTAAAAGTGCCGGACGGAGATCACATCATGGAGCCGGTGGCCTATCACTGCATCTGCAAGCAGAAATCCATACCGGTGGTGCAGTGGAACAACGAGCAGTCCACCACGATGTTGTACCAGCCATTTGTGTTGCTGCTTCATAAACTGGGCATCCAATTGCCAGCGGATGCGGGCTCGATCTTTGCCAGAATCCCAGACTACTGGACGCCGGAGACGATGTACGGACTGGCCAAGAAGCTGGGACCCGTGGACAAACGTGAGTTGAATTCAACCCCGCTACCTATCATGTCGCATAAGGTGTTGTGTATACCGTTATCAACAATTTTTGCTCTCTCTCTGTGTGTGAAATTTTGATCGAATCCGAATCCCAATCCGTACTTCCATGCACTCGCATTCTCATTGTGTGTCCGTCGGTGTATCTCGATATGCTGTGTGCCTCTCTCCTTCCCTCTTCTCCATCTGGGCTCTTATAGTCAACCTCAAGTTCGATGCCAGTGTGCTGGAGGATGCCACCGCGTCGAGTCCTTCCCGATATCATCACACGGGGCCAAGGAACTCGCTCAGTTCGGTTAGCAGCCTGGATGTGGACCTGGGTGAGCCGGAGGAGCTGGCCCTCATCCCCGAAGTGGACCCGGACGTGGAGAAGGCCCACGCCATGGAATCGACGCCTCCGCCCAGCGAAATCTTCGCCGTGCCCAAGACCAAGCACTGCAATTCGATTATCAGGTAGGTTCCATTACAAAACTCTTTCCTTGTTCAATGAATTGGTAAAGGCATCAGAAAGAATCTAAATTTTCAATGCAATCATTTAATTAAATGCTTAAAAAAAAGTTTCCTCAGAAGATATTTTCTCGTGTATTTACAAAGTCGATTTTTGAAATCCTCCTTCTATCATTGATTTCGTGATTCATTTGCCGGATTCATTTCTTCAATAGAGTTTACAAAATTCATTTTTTTAGAATAGCATAAATTAAAGTCTCCGATTTGCCTTCATTTACTAATTTTCCTTGATCTTGTCTTGATCTGACAGATATACGCCCGATCCCACGCCTCCAGTTCCCAACTGGCTGCAGTTGGTCATGCGCAGCAAATGCAATCAGCGCCCAGGTCCGTCTGGTGATCCCAGCGATTGGTGAGTGCACTTTGTCCACATATAACCATAATCTATAATCCATACCAATGTACTATACATACCCAAATACAAATCCGGACACAAGTCGCGCGACCTAGCCCAACCTAAGCGAAGACAATGCAGCAAAATCTTCAGATTTATGGCACACGGCAGCCGTTAAGGCTCTCCTCCGAATGGCTAACATAACATATTGTTAACACGACGCGACGCTCTCCCTGCTAACTGAAAACTGAAATCTGCTGGCCAAAAACTCTAAACTCTAGACCGCGATTTATGAACTTTGCGGCCCCTCGTACATTTACTTTCCCGTGTTGACAGTCGTTGTCGCCAGTTGCGCACCAAATGTCAGCTCCGTTTTGGCCATTGTGTCTGTCGGCCAGACTCTGTCTCAGTCTCAGTCTCATTGCCTTCCACTCAGAACTGACTGCACTCGAAAAAATATATTCCTTACAAAATGATATAATTATCATAATCATAATATAAATATAGTTTGATCGAACAATAACAAATACTTTTATGACTTATGCAATTGTGATCATATTTTTGATGTGCCAATGGCAAATAGTAACTTCAGAACTTGACGACAACACAAAGTACTTAATGATTGTTCCTCCTTTGAAGTAGAATGCTTCAAAATTGAATTTTAAATGTTTTTACAAAAATAAAATAAATAATTTAAATATTTAAAACGCTAACAAAATAATTCAGTGTTCAGGATTTTCGCAGTGCACTTGAGGCCACCGCTCGACTATCTATCTAGATGCATATAGAGTGTATCTCATCCGTTTGGTCATTGGCCATGTGTTATTCCGTGTTACTCGTACGTTTTTAGCCAGGCTCCGTACTTTTGGGCCCACTTTTGGACCCCACACGATCAGCTCACCCGCTGGCGGAGCTGCTCCTGCGATTTTCCAAATTTTTCGATTTTCCGATTCCGATTGCGACGGCTGCTGCTCATGTTGAACAGCATTTTGCATTTGGGTTTATGACTTTTTGTATGGCATTTTGTTGTTACACCAAAGAGCTTAGATCTGCGATAAATAGTCGGACTTTGCCGATTAGAGGATAACGCAAAGTATATTGGGTTCGCCGTGTAAAACGCCTGGGAATGAGTCCAAAAAAGGAGGGGCTGCGTTTAATTTGGACATTTAAACTAGTCAAACATGATTGATATCAGGCAATTAAAGAATTTAATCTCTAATTAAATGCAAAGAATTTAACTGTGATTGGCAATATTGAATAATTCAGCCTTAGACTTACTTTGATGATTTAAGGCAGCCATATATGTTTGATTTTATTTTCACAATGTAATTTTCTGAGATAATATTAACATAATTCCACTGAGATAATAAGTTATATATATAGGTTTAAAAATATACAATATAAGCAACTTTAAGCACATACTTTTAAATTATCAGCTATTTTTATCGAAATAAAACATTTAAGTAATATGTTTAAGCCTAAGAGTAATGGTAGGTTATTAAAAATAATATTTCTTTGCCATTTTTAAAATTAAGAAGAAATTCATGTAATAATATTTGAAAGATTATGAGAAATGGTACTTAATATTTAATATTTAATATTTTCTTGCTATTGATAATTTTTATAATAAATATTAAATATTATTTTATCGTAATAAATCAACAAAGCAAAAACTTAACAAAAAAACTTTAGAGTAATGGTACTAATTTCCATTCTATTTTTTTTTACCAGCTATTTTTATCGAAATAAATCTTTTTAGCAATGCTTATAATATTTTAGAATCAAACTTCCCTTCAATACCCAGACTTTCCACTCCCTACTTTAACATAAAATAAAACACCAGGCGTTTTTTCTTTAGAATCATTTACACCTTTGACAAGTCTGCCATGTCCGCAGCAAGCGAACAATCAATGCTATCCATGAGATACAGTGGCCTGACCTCTGTCGTCGAACCCAACAGCAGCAGCAACAGCAGCAAAAACCCAGCAGCAACATGAGCAACAACTGCAGCAGCAACACCAGCAACACCAGCGACACTAGCGACATCAAGAGCAACACGAAATGAAGTCATCGCGATTAGCACGCGCAGCTGAGACAGAGCCTATGAATGTCGTTCAGTTGTATCTGATAGATACTCGTACTCGTACTCGTACTCGTACTGGTACTCGAAAAGTGGAGGACAGTGGCCACACTGCATAAATTGACTTCGTCTTGGTCGCATAAATAAGCCCAGATAATCTCGCTGCTCGGAGTCAATCAATTCATTAGGCTTATAGGGCGAAATCAAAGCATTTACACCGAATTAACTTTTAAAAATAAACCGCTTAAATAATTGCCCATTGTTTTTTGCGGTAATTAGAAATCGGAGCTGGAGAAGTCAAAAACAACCATTAATCACAACGAGTGATGTTGACATTTGAGATTACAACTTTTGCATCCTTAGATGAGGCTGTGTTGTCGACCCCCTGAGAATTTCCAGTAAACTGAACCAGTTTTGGGTTAAAATTTGCATATTTTTTTCTGTTTCGTTCCCGCAAAGGCATGTGAAATATTCTTGCTGATATTTTATTTATTGTTTGCTGCACCAGTGCTTTGGTTCCTCTGCCTTTGTCAAACGAGTTTTCAGTGCTTACAGTTTGTTGCTGTTACTGTTTTTTTTTTTCCGTGGAAAGTAAAAGTCAAAAGTTACGCGATCTTTGGCCCCCCGGGGCATCCCCGAGCTAAACGGCAGTGCGTATGCTATGTCCCACCAGAGTGCAGCCAAACAAGTTCTTTTGTTAGTTTGGATAGCATATAAAAAGCTGGCTCAGCTGCTGACTCAATAGTTGGCTTAGATCATTAAGGATGAAGTCATCTGATTTTTTCCAAAGAGCTTGGAAATCTGTACTAGCAAAAACGCTAACATTTCTTTAGGCACTTTCAAATAGTGTATTAATTTCTTTTGATATTAGTCATTGGAAATGCTGCGTTTTTTCTTCGAAAAATACACTTTCAATGGTCTTTATAGTTGAGCACTAAAAAGTGTGTAAAATAAAATATATTTTATATATAGGAAATAAACGCCAACCAGAAAACTAATTTTCGTTTTCAAACTATTTGAGAGCTCATTAAGTTGCGAAAAAATCCATAAATATTTTATATATTTAAATGATGTGCAAAAAACATTAAAATTATGTAAACTTTTTATTGCTGGCATTTAATTAAACCACACAGAGTTGAAGTATCTTACAGATACTTTGAGTAATTTCACAACTTTCTATAAAACCATAGGCAAATTAACACGAGATGTGGGCACGCTTTTTGGCCGCCTTTTAATGCATTTTTTTACTTATTGCCAAGGGGGCGTGGGCGTTGACAAAAGGCAATTTTCCGAAGTAATTTACTTTGACGCCTGGCGAAAATTGAATTTGACATTTTTCTCATTTTTTTTCTGCTGGGAGTAGTATATGCAATATGCAATGGCCAGCCCACAAGGAAACCAAAGTCAAAAGCTCGAGCTTGAGTTGCACTTTTCAAGTGGCCCGTGGGCTGTGTTTTTTCGACTCTGCAATCTGTCGGGCACAACAGCAACACCAAGTGCACAGCAGCAACACCCAGCCAAACAGCAGCAACATCGGGCAGAAGACTACTAACTTTAGTATATATTTTTTTTTTTCGCTATGGTTTTCCCAGCTTCAATTTGCGACCTTCTTTGGCTCTGACTCCTTTTTGGGTTTGGCTTCAGTTTTAGTTTTGTTAACATTTTGCATTTATTGCCAATGCATTTTGTTGCTGCTGCAGAGCAATGAGTGCAACATGCAGCGGACTGCTGCTGCTACTACATCAATCAGCCCCATAAATCATTTTAATTATTAAATAAACAAGTTCAGGCCATGGAGTCTTGCTGAGTCATTCAATTCAGTAACTGCTACTATGATCGCAAAGTGTGAGAATATATGGGCTCGAGTACCAAAGGGTTAATTGGGCAACGATCTGTAAGGTTTCTTTGAAAGGGAAGGAACATGTTAGAAGAAAAGGTGAATTAATGGAAAAATATAAATTGGGAGGTCGGAGATTGTTATTAAAAGGTTTCTTTTGTTTATGCATATGAATAATAAAAGACCTACATTAAGCAACACGTTCTGATATCGTAACTTCAATTATTATTTTGTAGGAAAGAAACTGAAACTGTGTCTGCTTTTATTTTTAATAAGCTATTAAAAATGTCTTTTATCTTATTATATCTTATAGGTTTTTATTTTATTATTATTTGTTAATCTTTGTGTTAAAAATATCTAGTACTACAAATTAATCTTATACACCATTCGCAAAGAAAAAAAATATATTAAGTCCAATCAATTTGCGTTTTAGATATACTAAAGTTTATTTATTTGAAGTAATAAAGAGTTTTGTAGCTAAGTAGCTTAATATTAATTTAAAATCTTATGTTAGACAGAACAATATAGGTAAACCCATTTGTTATTCTTCACTGGAGCTTTAACTAAATATCCATAAATGGCATCTAAAACACATAACCTGATTATCCGCTTTATTTGTACAAACTATTTATATAAAATTTAATTTTTTTCTCTTTGCAGCATGGGATCCTCGTCGACGACCATGGACGATGAGGGATTGGGGAAGTCCATCAGTGCGGCCACCTCGCAGGCGGCGAGCACCTCGATGAGCTCGGTGAATCCGACGACCACGTTGAAGATCAGCATGCTGAACACGTTTATGGGTAGTCACAATGAGAACAGTAGCAGTTCGGGATGCGGGGGCACCGTGTCCTCGCTTTCCATGGTGGCCCTGATGAGCACGGGAACAGCGGGTGGCGCAGGAGGTGGAGGTGGAGGTGGTGGAGGTGGTGGAGGAGGAGGAGGAGGTGGCTCGTCCGGACTGGACATGGATGTGGATGCCTCCATGAAGTCCTCGTTCGAGCGACTGGAGGTCAACGGATCGCACTTCTCGAGGGCCAACAACTTGGACCAGGAATACAGTGCCATGGTGGCATCTGTGTACGAGAAGGAAAAGGAATTAAAGTGAGTGCGTGTGCGATGGGAACTGAACATTCAGCTCAAAGGACGCCCATTTAAGAAGTCGCACTATGCTCTTTTTTTATTTATTTGTGGGGACTTTTGTTTGTCCGAAAACACTTGATTTTTTCAATGCAATATTTTCTTTTTTCTTCTCACAAAATATTTTCTCTTAAATATTATTCGGAAAATATTGTTTGAACAGATTTCTTGAATAGAGAAATATATTGAAATATGTATTGATGCTGTGCATCTTGCATAATTCCCCATTACCAACTATAGTACTTAATATAAACAGAAATAATTGTTAGACAAATTTCTTCAATACAATTCGCCCAAGCTTTGAAAGCATAAACTAAGATGAATAATTGTTATACATTAAGGATGGTGAATTGTACCACCATCTAGCCCACCTAATTAATTTATTTTGTGACCCCGAAAAACTCCTATTGCAATTTATCAGTAGGTTTTATTGGCTATGTTTAAAGTCTGGAAGATTTTTTGCCTGACTGGCAGCTGAGGAAATTAAGTGAGTCTGAAAATTCAATCGCAATGGAGGCGAGGCTCATGTCAAAGTCAAGCCTATTGGCTAATTGACAATTAGACAGATTGCGCAAATGGCAGGCCGTCATCTTGTCAATAGGAAAATGCTCGAAAATGCCTGGCATTGCTGAACAGTGTCTCACATAAATTTATGGCAAGCAATTATTCAGTTTCCTACCTTTTTTTAACTCAATTTCATTGGCTGTTTTTGGCCGGGAAACTTGGCCTTTTTTTGGGCGGGTAATTTGATGTGTGTGTTGCTCATGTTTCGACTTTTGGCTCATTGGATCATTGCAGCAGCGACAATGTCTCATTGGCCTCGGATCTGACCAGAATGTATGTGAGTGATGAGGACGATCGACTCGAGCGAACCGAATTCCGGGTGCCCTACTATCATTGATCTGGTATCCCGAATACTAAAACAACCAACAGCTGGATTGAATTGTTCCTAAATCAAGTGAAACGTAACTTTTAATATACTGACCCAGCACAAGGATTGTACATTTAATGACCTCTAAATGCAAAAGTATACCTGATTAATTAGCTAACGCATAAAGTGCATTACTATCTATGGTTAAAGATGAAGTCTAAGCAGAAATTAATGAGAAGTGCATTATAAAGTTTGGTTAATAGCTGTGAGGCTCTGTAGATTCTATTCCTGTCATTAGATATCCTTAAGTTAACCTTAGTTTTCAATTGTATTCTCTGTACACACTTACCACTTACCACATACACATACACATATGTAAATGGGCAGTTCCTGGTTGAAATAGTGCAAATATATACACAGATAAATCTATTTACACGATTTAAGAATGAAGATTGAAGAGCGTCCGTATCCAAAAATCCATCTGTATGTATATCCTTAGTCATAAGTTATGCTTAGCAGTAATAAAGCTTTCTCTGTAGCCAAAAAGCCACAAATCTCTGTCTCTGACTCGGGTGCAAGTCCAAATGTGAATAATGTGCAGCAAATTGGCGGAGCCGAAAGATAAACGAGTGGTGGCATAGCGGTGGCCAAAACGAATTAAGGTCATCTGGCCGATCTGGGGGTCAGGGGTTTTGGGGGGGGGCCAATCGGGGGAGACTCCACGCACGGTAGCCAAAAGAACTGAACAAAAACAAATGCAGCTAATAAATATAAAAAAAAAATTACAGAGAAAAAAAATTGCTAAAATAGGTATGTATTGATAAAAAATATAAAAACGACTACAAATTTCAAGAATACTAAAGAAACATGTTAATAATCTCATAAATGATTTTATTCACTGATTTTTAAAATTAAATCGCATATTTTAGAAACATTTAAAATTCTAAAGCAACAATTTAATAAACACAAAATAAATAACTGTCAAAATGTAGTCGGGTATATTGAAACCCTTATTAAATTATTAAAATAAAAAGACAGTTTAAAAACAAAAAAAAAATCCTTTTTTAAGACATTTTTTTTTAATACGAGTATATTGAGAAATTACAAAAATAAAATTCAAGATTTTTGATAAATAATATTTAATATATAATCGGGTATACTAGACCCCAACATAAAATTATTATAAAAATAGTATGCAAGCTTATAATGCAAGCAGTTATTTAATTTTCGAATCCATTACAGTCCAATTTAAAATCAATCAAAATATATTATCAAATAGTACAACTCTCAGTGTAATAAATAAAACTAAGGCGACTCGGTTCCAGTCACATATTCAGTCTTGGTCTAGCCCATACATAAATGGCAAAACATGGCTAAAACAATTACCAAAATGCGGCGGGCACAACAATCGGCCATCGGAGCATAAGCATACTACTCGTACAAGAAATAATAATAATAATTGTGGCCAATTGGTGCTTAGTTGGCTAGTTAATTGCAACATGGCCAAGACGACAGTCCACTCTCGACCAACTCTAGATGGCCACGAGTTCTTGACTTGGCCAGATCACCCAGAATGGCGAGAGGTTTTTGGGAGGTAACTGATTCACCGTGGTTGCGATCCAATTCGGAAATTTAATATGGTCTCTTATGGTTTGCTTAGTTCCGTTTTGCCTTAATTTATTTCCTCATTCTGTTGTTTTGATCAATTGATTATAAGTAAGCATAAATAATTTAATAGTAGCACCTTGTACTTATTTGAAAGTTGTATGCGTACTATCCACATTTTTATTTAAGCTCATATGATCAGTGATTTATTTAGCGTTGCAGCATTGCGAGTTTATATATATATTTATTCGCATTTATATTTCTACAAACTTATATTTTATAAGCTTTGATGTTGCTTAATAAACAAACAAATTCTTAACAAAATAATCCGAAAATATGTATTATATGGACCTATTTGGCTACATAATATATTATTTAACTCATCAATAGATCATATACCAACTTTCATTAAAACCTAACAGAAAAATCACCATTTTGGTCATAACAATTCAAATATTGGGTAAAAAATGGAATGCTATACCTCTTAAAATTCGTAATAAAATTCCCAATAAGCTGGCAATCAAAACTTAAAATTTTTATATTTTGAAAATTTTTACAAAAAATGATGATGTTACCCCTTATAAAAAATACGAAAGTTTATCAAAAATTTTATTTCTTGAAATCATTAAAAAAGTGATGAGGTTTGTTTATTTAGATCTTTAGCTGCTCAAAACAGTCATTCTTTTGGAAAACGGTCGCCATTTGGATAAGTTTTAACCAAAAAACCGTATAAAAATCTTGATTTTCCTTTCAAAAGCCCCTTTTATCTTTATTTGGCTATGATTTTTACTAAAATAAGCTCTTTAAATTGAATAAACTATACAACTGTTTATTAATTTATAAGATTTTTTTGTTTATTTTTTATTTGTGGTTGATCTTAAATATTCTTTTAATTTTCTTTTGAAATCACTCGCTCAAAAAGTCGTCCCCAAATTGCTCATTCGTGGCATTGCCTTTGCCTACCATTGTGGTGTGCTGGTGACGGTCTCTTTTTTTGGATTTCCTATTCGCCTGCAAGTCGGACTGCAACTTCTAACCAAAATGCAGGCGGCAGTGCAATTACCAAGACAGGCAGCTAATTTTATTTGCTGTAAACGTGCGCCTCCGTCTTCAGATTTGCTCTTGCTTTATGGTTTAGGTTTTTTTAGTGTTTGCGTTGAGTTTGCAGTTGATTTTCGTTCGGTGGGAATTATTATTCGATGACTTTTCGGAGCAGATTGCGTGTCTGAGGCACATTAAGCACCTTTGACTGGTTGCCGCCGCCGCCGTCACTCGTCAATTGAGTTGTCAGCACCAGAAGTGAGAAAACACATTACTCGGGGTGGTCACTCAGTTATAATAATTCAAGATTAGACCAGGGTGCTAAATGGCTAAATAGCCAATATGCAAATCGAAGCGGAAGCCGCTGATTTGAAAGTGAAGAGCAGCGCGCTCCCTACAAAAGAAGATATTTTCAAAGACTCCGGCACATTAAATAGCACAATGAGCTAGTCGATCGCGAAACTTGTTCAATTTGAAAGTTGAGTTCAAGTTCAGAAATGGCAATGGCAATGGCCACAACAGGTTGCTATAATTTATAGACCACAATAAGCTATTATCCCACATACACGAATAGTTGTCAACGGGCACGAAAAGAGCGGCAAGAAAGTTTTTGTGGTTTTGGGTAAGTTTTAATACTCTAATCGAAGATTTTATGGAAGATACTTGATTTTTTTTATTGGCTACTTCAGAGAACAATAAATGTTAATATTATTGGGATTTCCCAAATTGGAAGGGAAGCAAGAAGTCATTTAAATTTGTTTTTCTTAGATTTTGGTAAGACTTTAAATTTAAAAGCTATCCTAAAAATAATAAAGTCATTTAAATCATGAAATAGTATCTAAATCATAACATTTACATGCGGATTCCGAACTCAAAAAGCTAAAATTTTAGTTTTAATTTTCAATATTTGGCATAAGTTATAATTTACCCATTTTAAGTTATAATTTACCCTTTTACAAAATTTTAGTTTTAATTTACCAAATTTCCACTAGAGGCTACTCCTTTTCATTAAGAATATGCTAATTTTTTACGCTTTCTTGCCACCTTTTGCAAACTTACCTCAAAAACCATTATACCCAAAAAATCGCTACCCAACTTCTTTCAAAACAAATGGCCATCCTCAATGCTCACACAATAATGACTTTGATCTTTAACCAACGGAACAATCGAATATTATTTTTGCCTGGGCATGTGAAATGAAAAGCTTATGTAATGGGGAAGTGTGAGACATTTAGATAACATTTGACCAGGCCTCTCGCAACGATATGGTATAGATTTAGTACTTGAGTCTTGGGGAATTTGGATTTTGGGCATTTTTGAAGGAGGGCCAGGAGAGCAGCCCGAAAAAGTCGTTTCAAGACAAAGTGCAATAATTCACACTCACTTTCGGGTTTGACGTTTTATAGGTGGGAACAACGGCAACATTAGCAACCAACATTGCAGTGCAACAGCAACATTGCAACAACAACCTCGCAAAATCGACAGCATGAACATGCCCAGACACTCCACTTTAAGACTCCGGTGATTATGAAACTTTACATGCACACTGCACTGACACTTTATATAGTTTATGACTTGATAAACTCTCACATCGATTCGCCAGCCCATTGTCCAAATAAAGTCATACGCCTGGTGCACCGATTTCAATTTACGATTTGTTTGATCGAGCATTTGAAATATGAAATGTTGTAGCAATGCAATTTTAGCATTGCCACCGGCGGCAATTTTCAGCTCACAGATTTATAGTTCAATTTGATCATGATTTATCCCAAAGCCCATAAATAATAACCGTGATTAGGAGGCCTGTAGGGAGTGGCCTTTGTCTAGCTGTCTCTCTAATTGTTGGCGATCTGAAATTTAATTAGCTGCCGATTACAGGCCAATGGGCAGGTAATCTCGGGGCTATTTGCATACTATTCTAGGGTTAAGTTTATAAGTTGGATACCATCTTCGAAAGCCTCGCCAGCGGAGACTTAAACCGGAGCCGAAGAGAAGCCTTCGTTTGTTCGTTTTTCGCGGCGCATTCGTTGGCGGTTCGGAATACCGGACTTTCGGAGTCGAACGGCTACTTCTACTTGGCGTTGCATAAAAAGTGGTTCAGTGGAGCAAACGCCTTCAAACCGAAAGCGTCGCGATCGCCTCGTAACAAATCGCGGACTTTAAAACGCGCGGAAGTGCAGTGCAGCCAAGGATCAAGCTTCTATATCCTTTATCCTCTATAGTATATGGAGGCAGCGTAAAACTCCCCTGTGTTTATTAAGTCCCTTAAAAAAAAATAAACACAGCATTTGGAATAAAAACACACTTAATTTTGGATACATCAAATAATTGAGTTCTAAACAAAAGTGAAGGTAAGAAAAATGAAGAGTCAACGGGGCGTATGTGAGCCAGTTTTTGGCATAAATTTCGGAAATCGTTGGATTATTATTATTCACTTTTGCACGAAAGTTCCTGAGCATCGACTAAATCGATTATTTATGATGTCCATGTGTTATGTTTTTGACGTTAGAACATTAGATTAGGCAAATGCCAAAAATTGAATAAAATATGCCAAACAGAGAAAATACCATTTGATAAACAAAAATTTAACTCCGGTTCAGAATGCTTTTTTTAAAAGTGAAATGAGCAAAACCTTTTTTGTTTAAAGATTTTAGTTGTTTTTACGATTACGGTTTGATTTCTTCCAAAAATATATTTTATAAAAATATAATCGGTCTGATTTATTATTAAGCTTAAAATTTCCTGAAAATTAAATCTAAAGAATGTGATCTCCATCTAAATACTTACTTGTTATTCAAAATAAGCCACTATTTTCTGATTATACCTTTTTTTTCCTAGAAAACTATTTGAGATCTAAATGCCACAGATTGCATAAAGATTAAAACCATTTAACAAATTAAAGTTTGCCTGTTAAATATACAACGCATATATCAGAAAAACGTGAAATAGAACTATTTATGTATGACAACATTTTTCGGCTTAAGCTTTGTTTTTCATCGAGAACTTTCAATAGGCCAAATGTCACAGATTGCATAAACATAGCACCACACAAAATTATTGGCTTTTTAAGAGGATCTACACATAAATAAAAATCTAGTGTTGGCTCACATTTATTAATATTCATACCAGTTTGCCTAGTTTATTTTTTTGTCAACCCCTTGCAATGCGGAAATGTGCAATATCTAATAAATACAAATTGTGCTAAGTAGTATGAAGATTATAGCTCAGTTTTCAGTGGGGATAAAATATACTACGAGCAAGGGAAGTCAGACTTTGTTGCTGAATGACAATTACAAATGTCTTTATATTATATTACGAATTACTTAGATTAGATTCAATTTAAATTGAATTGGCCATTGAAATTGCAAGCGAATTGCGCTTTAATCAGGCTGACAGACGTCACACGGTGGCAGACAGACTAATTTGCATATTAATTTTAATTGAGTGAACAGCGACCGGCAGGAGACATCCATCGATAAAGTTCATTCGAATTGAAATGGGAAATGTCAGCCCGCAGACTCAAACTCAAATTCGAGCTCAAACTCAAATCGAAATGAAAACCGAATTGAAATAGAGCCATTGGCGATTGCAGCTGCCCTGGCTACGTGGTGGGTCCAATAAAATCAGACACAGAATAAATTTAAATACAATGCAGCTACAGATTGTCCAAACAAATGTGGTTACAGCAGAAAAAAAGTGCAAACTGAAAGCAAGTTCGTTGCCTAAGTCTTTTGATTGATTGACTGCGAATTTTTGCCAGCATCATCCCACTCTCATTTCTCTTTTCTGGGAGTAATAAAAACGTATCACCTATTAAAACTTCCGCCTAACGAATGACAAGCTTGGCAAATTGTTACACACTAACCATTCAATGTCATTGTCAAAAGCAAAAAAAAAACTTTTTTGGCGAAACCAAAGCAAAGCAGACACATAAAAAAAATTCGCAAATCTCGAACTGTATTCCATCATCGAATTTGCATATGCAAATTTCATTCCCACGACTTTTAATTGCAATGAAAAAACTAGCAAATGGAAATGCCGAAAAGAAGACCTGAAACTAGCCGAGTGATATTAATTCTCGATAGTTGTTTGTCTTTCGGGCTGCCAAGGTCAGGGCCAAGTGCGTGATGCTATCACCCTTAAAATTTATTACCAATCGAGACTAATTTGGAGCTTCTTAGGTATACATTTTATGGTTAAGAATTAAATTAGTTTTAGATTTATATTTGACGTATGGTTAAAATGATTACAACCAATAAAAACAGTCATATTCCCTCTAAGTCTTTCTATTAATTTAAAGGAAACTTGAATATTTTTTAATTTTTATATTACCGTAACATCATATTTTCTGAGCTTAACATTTTCTTGGAAGCAATTTCGATTCCGTTTAAAATATCTTACAACTTATATTAATTAAACCCAATAAAAACAGTGTTATATCCTCTGAATAAGGTTTATTTTCAAGTTTTCATATTACCAAGGCATAACAAAGCAAATTTTTATAAGATGACTGTAAGCCAAATTACATTCAATTAGAAAGCCTGTAAATTATACATTTTTTCAGAGTAAAGCAGTTTCTTGGAAACAATTCCAATTCCTTTTAAAATAAATTACAGCTTGAGTGGTTCAAAAACCCCCATTTCTTGTTGATCTTCAAAAGTAAGACTTTGAAACCAACCAGTGTAATTATTTATTATACTATATTCACAAGTTCGACGACCAACTAAAAGCTAAGAGCTTGTCTTAGTTGTTTACAAAAATTATTTTGTAGAACAAAAAACCCTAAATTGTTGTTAACAAATGGTCTCAACCCTATAAATTGTATTGCTTCTTTCTATATATTTAATGTACTACTAGAATACCCATAAATCCGACTTTATGGCTTTCTTTAAGAGTATAAAAACTTCGCTTTACTTAAGATGACTTTTTGTTTTTTATAATATACTATGGCCTGGCACATCTTTGGGTCATTTTAATTAACACTATTAGCGCAGCCATCAAACAAGGCTAATTAATGAAGCAAAGTTAAATGACTTTTATTTGAATTCAATTTGATTTCCCCACACGAGATATGTGTCATAATCAAGTCAGAACCCTGACAATTCCCGCGGGGGAAACCGACTGAAGCAGGTGAACATGGATTTGAAATTCAAGTGAGCTCAACTTATTGCAGAAAATTAATAAAATAAAATGGAAAAAAAGGAAACCAGAACCAAGTTTGAGGTGAGGCACAAGCCAAAGTCTGGGCTGCACCCAGAAATGCGTACAAAACCGTTGACATTTCGCCCGACAACCTTACAAGACACTCTGAGTTGGAGTCAAAAACAGCGACAGAAACAGTAACAGAAACACAAGACGGTCCCTGAGACAGACAATTACTAATTGAGTTTCCCCCTTGCGAGACTTACATTAATTACCCTCTTGAAGGAGAAGTGGAGTGGCCAAGATCCAACCTTTGGCTTCATTAAGGGTGGGCGTCGCCCAGTTGGGCCATTGGATTGTGTAACTCTTGTATCTTCGCCCGCTAAATGTTCAATTTACAAATTAACCAAAGCAAACATTTCGGTGCAAAGTTCAATTACAACAGCAGCAGCAGGAAAACAAACAATTGTTGTGAAATCCCAATGTAAGTGTAAGCGAATCGAATATCGAAATCCAAGTCGAAACAAAAAACAAACAATAACAAGGGCAGACCGTCGAATTAATTGAAAGTATTTACAAAACTTACGAGCATTTAATATCGTCTAGCAATCAGAAAAATCAAATTGAATTGAAGAGCGCGGAAGAGCAAAGCCATCCATTTAGTGATTGAACCCAAAATTGATTGAGCCCAGCGGGAGATTGGTTTAACAGACTGGAAAAGTTTTCAGGCTGTCGAAAGGGTTTCCTCCCACTAACCTCTGGGTAATTAAGCAGTTGATTGGATATTTCTCAAAATTGAATTTCAGAGAAGTTAAGAAATGGTTCCAAAAACATTTTTAGAGTTTTGAAGGTCTAAAGATTAACACTTCTGTTTTATACAATTTGTTTTATAACAGCACATTACATAAATATTGCAACAAATAAAATAAAAGACAATAATAATATGTATCTATAATATTTAATATATTAAGGTTAAGCTTACCGAAGGCATTACAAATTCCCAAAATTTCCCAACCGAACCTTATTTTGAATGAAACTCCCACTGGTATTTCGCAACTGGCCAATTGAGGATCCAAAACATTTCTAAGAAGAAACCAATTTTATCCAAACCATTGTTTCTTTGCCTCCCGTTATTCCGATTTTTCCCCGAGGCGTCGATTATTGTGGGCCAGTCAAAAGTTCAAATTGGCAAAATTATTGATGGTAGGCCGAGTTCAAGTTGGGTTGAGTTACTCAAGTCAGTCAGCCAGTCGGGTAGTCACGCATATGCCCCTTTCAATTTCGTTTGAATCTGAATCTCTTTTTGTTTTGTTTGCTGGCGATTTCTCAATTCGAGTTTAGACTATTGCTATGAGTGCTATGCAAATTGATCGGAACGAAGTTACTTGAGCCCAAATTCAATTTGCATTTCCCAGACAAAGTTCGTGATATGTCAGCGGGCGTTAGAATGTGTTGGAGGTCACACCGCCCCTTTTTAGTACTCGCCAGTTGACACTTTTGCTGGAACCTCGCAATTAGCAGAACCTTTCAAAATAAATCGTCCAATGTCGCTGGCATTTGTGACGAATTTCAGTTCAGCTTTGTTTGTGTTGTTGCTTCACTTTAATTCCGTTTTAATTGCTTTATCAAAATGCCAAAGCCCCTGCCTGCCTGCGAAAACGAAAGACTGAGGCAACGAACTTGATTTGAAAACGGGTTGAATCTGCCTTGTGTTTTTTTGGCCCCCTAATTAATAGTTTTAACTCACTGTTTCGGATCTTTAATCGCCGGATCTTAATTGTTGTTTCCTTCGATTGTGCAGTGATGTGTTGCTCTTGCTGCTGCTGTTGCATTTGCATAGCTGTTAGCACCTGTCCCAACTTATTGAAACATTTTTATTGGCAACTTATTGAAACATTTTTATTGGCACTTATATAGCATACACATGTTACTTCTTGTTTATGCTTATTTTTCGCTATTGGTATCCAGGTCAATGCGGCTGTCATTTGATGCAAGTTATTAGGCAATGCTCAGCTACAAATTGCGTTTTGCTTTCAATTTGGCCTTAGTTAACGCACATGTGGGCGTGTCCGCCCGGCCACAAAAGGCGTAGCTTTTGATTAGAATTTCGGTTTCGCAAAGAATAAAGGCTGGAAAATGTGTGAGCATATTGAGTTTACTCGGTGAAGTTTGCCTTGAACTGTGCAATAAGAAATTTAAAGGTGGGGCT